AGGGATCATAATTGGTAACAATTGATGTGGTACCAACCACCGGTTTAAGACGATAGTGTGTAGGTGACCATCAAGAGCTGCTTGGACAGTCTGGTATCAATACCAAGACTACAAAATCTGTAGTGTGGTTTCGATACCACAAATACAACATCCGTAGTGTGGTATCGATACCACGACTACAAAATTCGTAGTGTGGTATCGATACCACGACTACAAAATTCGTAGTGTGGTATCGATACCACGACTACAACATCTGTAGTGTGGTATCGATACCACGACTACAACATCCGTAGTGTGGTATTGATACCACGACTACAAAATTCGTAGTGTGGTATCGATACCACGACTACAACATCTGTAGTGTGGTATTGATACCACGACTACAAAATTCGTAGTGTGGTATCGATACCACGACTACAACATCTCTAGTGTGGTATCGATACCACGACTACAAAATTCGTAGTGTGGTATCGATACCACAACCACAAAACCTGTAGTGTGGTTTCGATACCACCACTACGGATTTTCTACCAAGGTGTCAAAGCCAAGATTTCAAGACCACTAAGAGCTTCATGGTCCTATGAGTTACATGAGCCCAACAATTCCATTGCAAGACAAAACCATACAGACACCGAGGTATTCAAGATGTTGGTCCCTGATCAAGCCACCGTCCAAAGTTCGTACTAATGCCCCAGCCCGGCCTTTTCCCCTTCAGTTGCTCTAACACCTTCTGATGAAAGAAATGCACAACCGAGAATCTCCCTGCCGTAACACCAATCTTCTCCTCTGCCTCATTTGCTTTTGCTGTCCAAGGTGAGACTCTATGGGCTAAAAACTCCGTGAACCCCATGAAAACATCACCTGAGCCAAATCTGATGTGACAGTCAGTTTCCGCTGCATTATCATAGTGATTGATCATTTACCTGAGCCGAGCATTGAGTTGCGGCACTTCAAATGCTCCTCCATCAAAGTGGCCGCCCACAATGTCTACAGTGAGATCATCGTGAACGTCGAAGTGGATGACATCAGTCTCAACCTTGTACAGGAATGCCCTCCCAATGAACGGCCCGACATCCTCATCGAATGTCTTCCCAGCCTGGAAAGCTTGTGTGTACTCCACATGCTTGTCAGAGAAGAAACCTTGCAAGAGTTTGTCCACCATAGTATTGACGATTTTGGTGTTGCTGAGATGGGTGCGGTAACCGGTCATGAAGGAGGCGGATCTCATGGTATCCTTAGAAATAGTCATAGGCTGCAAGATGTTATCATTAAATATGAAGCGAGAGATTTCAGGATGAACTTGCTGTGTTCGGGTGCCCTTGCTGCAACCAGCAATGCATACAATGATAGACGCCTTTACGCTCAGCTTCCTCCTGGTTCTTGCAATTGACATAGCGGCAGATGTGGTGTTCCAGCTTGTCTGGTTCAGTGTAATGGCGGCTGTTTTCGTTCGGTTGTTTAGGCTGTGAGAGGCTGGCCAGCTGCTGAAGTGACTGTTTGTACTGAAGGAGTAGCCTCTCCTGTTCTGTCGTGTTTGAACGTGGAGAATTCCAAGGTCACAGAATGCTCTTACCTGAATGCCATCGTGATATACCTGCAAGCCATTAGCCTTCGCAGTCGCCAAATCAGCCTCCGTACGGCCGTGCGACTGGTTGTTCGCGTCTCTGTCTGGTGGCCTCGTACGAGGCGCACGAGAGTCGATGATGCGTACCCCAAGATACACTGCAATGAGATAACCGTCGCTTGTGTAGTACAGCGTGGTGAACGGGATGACGGGGGTGTTCTGGAGACCAGTATCGGCATATGCCCCTAACTCCTTCAAATATTCAGCTCTGGAAAGCTTTTCCATCCCCTTACCATTCGGCTTAAGGGACTGCCCAGTAGACTTGAGTTTGAGCTCGTCAAAAGTTACGTCTAAGTTAACCCTCTGTGCTCCCATGAGGACCGATTCAATGGTTTTTGTTAGCTGGTCGATATCGGCCTTAAGGCATGCCTCGGGGGACATGTTCCTCCCTTGTTGCTTAGGAGATTTTGCCGACACGAGGACATTACTGGGAGCTTTGACAGGGTAAGCGATCCACGGCTGGGTCCAATGTGTTAACTACAGGCCGAACAACACAGACTGGACGGGGGAAACAGCTCACCTTCGCTGCCTTCTTCGTCTTGGTCTTCTTTATCTTCTTTTTCTTCGGCTTCTCCGGCTCACTTTCCGTCTCACTTTCGACTACCTCCGTATCGGAACGGTCTGGGAGCTACATTTTGCACGAAATTGTGTCACATTATGTGAGATATGATAGAGGCTATCGAATTGGTCAATCTCTCACCTCTACGTGGCGTCCTTCTAAATCATCGTCGTTATATGGGCCGCCATCCAGCGAGGGTGTCGAAGGCTATGCCAATGTGAGCAATGTACTGACCTGACTAACAATTCAGTGAATCTGTCACCTCCACATTCGCTTCCTTAAAGTCATCATCATTCTGTTCACCGTCAGAAGAGGAGGTCTGAGACTGAGTTAATATGAGTGACATTTCTTTGACCACACCAGCGCATGGCTCTGCTCACCCTGCCTCTTTTTGGGTCGGACATTGTGTTCATTCTACAACTTACGGTGCTGAGAGGACGTAGATGTGGATGGAGATGGTGGTGGTTGTCGTCAGGACGGTTCTGATCAGATTGCTGCATGTGTCCATACATATCGGATGTGCATTAATCGTCCGCATCAACTCGTCGGCAACCGCCGGCGCGAGAGTTGACGCGTCACGCCACAGCCCACTACAGTGTCTGTGGCCCATGTCCAATGAGCTCACTTGTGTGAGTGTTGAAGGCATAAAAAGGCAATCAATTGTGTCATATAGTGCATTAAGTGATGGGGATGCATTAATCACGGTCCCTGAGTACGGGGATGAGCAGTAGTATAGAGGGATGTTGGGTGAGCGGGTAGTATATATAGCATAAACTTTGGTACGAGAATATGGCCTGGTGGCGCAGTGGTTTAGCGCGGCCGCATCATGCGCCACCACTCTCGGGAGGTCGTTGGTTCGATCCGCACGCGTGCCGTTGAGGTTCCTACATTTTTATTACTCTGTCACCCTCTACGCCGTCCTGCCCGCTTTGACGTTGACATGTGGTTTGATCATTTTACTTATCAACTGTACTCACTTATTCACCTTTAACGAATACAATTATATTCCGATTTATACCACTTAAACTATACTCCAAAGAAAAAACAAAAACAAATGTCAAACATATTCATTTCCACCTCAGGAATATTCCGATGGGATCCCCAGCATACTTGAAGCTCTGTGCAGGAACGGTGTATTTTTTCTGGAGGCCCAATATATATATTTCAGTCTCCTGGCTGACTTTAATATTGTACTATGGGCTCACCAACTATTTAAAGGCCATTATCCATCAATACACACCATAATATATATACAGTACTCATTGGTATTTTTATTTGTGCCCAGTACGTGCATACAACTGTTTTACTCACATATGGGCCACAAACCGGCCACAAACACACGTTCTGA